AAAAAAAAAAAAAAAAATTAATAAAATAAAAATAAAAATTAAAAAAAAATAAAAGATTCCAGCTGCCAGGCCACCTGACACCCAGCTGAGGAGGTAGAACCTATTTGGTTTGCCAGTTTCTGATGAGATTTTCAGAGACATCTTCACAGCTTCAAAGGGAATATGGCACACCTCAGAAAGTCTCCCCAGAATCTGTCAGAGCGACTTGCATTTCTATTGTTTTGCAATGAGAAGACCTCGACATCAGAGACGGCAATCAGTGGACCTCCTCTGAAATGCAGGTACTCTTTCTCGGGTGATGACTCTGCCCTTTGGTGCAAATGTGGACTATTCTTTCCATGTGATATCTTATTCCAAACACTACCCAGCAGAGGGGTCATTTTTCTTTTGTGTTCCTGAGAAGCACCTGCCCTCTGCTTGGATCATGGCCCCTTACTGCCAACATCAGCAGCCAAACAGGCTTATCTCTACCCTGGTCTAAAGTTAATATTAAGCCAGTGACCAGCTAGCCAGGAAAGCTCTATTAATATTACACAAGAACCTATCATGGGTTACAGCTCAGTCAGCACCAAATGGAAAGCTAGAGGATTTGAAAATGGGAGGAGGGGAGGCTGTAAATTCTCTCAAGCCCAAAGCCATGGGCTGAGGGAATAGACACTTGCTCACTGTTTCTCCCAGTTGGCTGAAGGAATGTAAAAACCAGGTTCTGGTGGCTTGATGAAAACAGGAGACAACAGTTCTTAACTTAAAACTTGATTCCATGCATGTGGGTGTCCTTATATGGACACACACATGCACATGCACATGTCCAACACAGCTCCTGTGAACTCTAACTTGGGGCAGACAACACAATCAGATGCCACTCCTCCTGCCAGTGGTCACTTCCTCCAGAGACCCAGAGAAGCACAGCCAGACTCCTGTTCAGAAAATATGGGTCTTTAAGGTTGAAGTACAAAAGGGATCTCTTGGGTTTGTTCAGAATAGCCTCAGACCTGATGTAATACCCATGGAAAAAGGACAAAACTGCACCCAGAATGACGAAGAAAAATGGTTAAGAACTCAGTGTGTGTCTATCTAGTAACCCTGCTTATGCTAATGTCTCCAGCCTACTTGAGAAGACCAACAGCCTATGAAATATGCACATTAAAAAAAGAAATGTCCACATAGTTCCTGCCACAGCAAAGAATGGAAACCAGACAGGGACATGTGGGATGGGCTGGAAGGGCAAGGAGGAGAAGGAAATTTGGCTCAAGAATGTCACGAATCCAATGCATGAATCCAAACTTAAATATACTATCCCCCAAATTACTTATACAGTGGTATGAGTATGAGTCAATTATATCTCTGTCTTGTATCTATTCCATTTTAGTTTAGCCAGAAAAAAAAAAAAAGCCATTTATTTCTTAATTATCTCAAATTCTAGGAATCCCTTTGCCCCAAAAAGGAATAATGAAAGCTTGGGTTTTGGACTGCTGGGAAATAAAAGTTCCACATCTTTCTCTAAGGGGATCAACAGCTACTAGGTACCAATCAATAATTGTCTCAGTTCCACTTTTATCATATTAATCTTAAAAACATACTATATGTGGTTAATTTATTAGGTTTGGATACGAATTAATAACAGTTATTAGGTTTAAATTAGAAAGTCAATTTGCTCTTCAAAGGTTCACTGTTATGGGTTGAATTGTGTTTTCTCTCCTTCCATGTCCCTCATCAATTCCTTTGCTGAAGTCCTAGCTCCTAGGGTCCCAGATAATCAGCATGTGACCTTGTTGGGAAATGGGGTCTTTACAGAGGCAATCAAGTTAAAGTGAAGTAGTCATGAGAGTTAGCCCTAATAGAATATGATTCATGTCCATATTGGAAAAAAAAAAGACTTGGCTACAGACATAGCACAGAGGGAAAGGGGATGTAAAGACACAGGAAATGCCATGTGAACATGGAGACAGCCATCTGCAAGCCAAAGAGAAAGGCCTAGGACAGACCCCTCCCTCACAGCTCTCAGGAGGAACCAACCTGACAGTACCTTGATTTCAGACTTCTAGCCTCTAGAAATGTGGGACAACAAATCTCTGTTGTTTAAGCTGCCCAATTTATGGTACTTTGCTATGGCAGCCCTAGCAAACTGGTATATTCCCTTAAACTAAAATCTTTGGGACACAGCCATTTCCCTGCAGACTTGATTCCCCTCTTCAAATAATAGAATTTTGTACTGTAATGTTTTAGAGCTTTAAGTATTCATTTAACTAATAAGCCGGAACCTCCCTCTCAAAAAACAGGTGTTCCATTCTCCTGCTCAGCTCTACTTCTATCACATAGCCCTCCTGTCACTCACAGTCCCTGCATTTATCAATCAAGAAGGGAAAGGAAGAGGTCGCTATCTGGTCTAAACACTCATAAAGAACTCTAGGTCTTTCCCAGCCTGGAAAACATGGTGAAATCTGTCTTTATAAAAAATATTGAAAAATAAGCCAGGTGTGGTGATGTGTGCTAGAGTCCCAGCTTCTCAGGAGACTGAGGTAGGAGGATTGCTTGAGTCCGGGAGGCTGAGGCTGCAGTAAGCCAGGATTGCACCAGTCTGTACTCCACTCTGGGTGACAGAGTGAGGCCTTGTCTCAAACAAAATAAAACAAACAAAAAAACTCACTTTAGGTCTTTCTAATCTCCTTGGAATTCTGACCAAATGCTAACTTCTTATGACCTCCCTATTGCTGGACTTCCTAGAGAGATGTATCTTCCAGGACTGTGCACCAGAGAGGCCCAGGCATGAAGGCATAATGGTGAGTGAAGGAGCAGAGGCAGGACACAGGGCTTTGTGGGGAGGAAGCCTCAACAGCTCAGACTCCTCCTGTTCTGGAGACAGTGGGCTTACACACATTCTTAAAGACTCACCTCAAAGCCCTGCAGACGTCCTAGATTCATCATGTCATTGCAACGTTTGGGAACAAGGCACATTAACTCCACTGCTTTCTGTGGGAAAGAACAGTTGTCACTCAGGAGGGGGAACAGCACTCAGGCAGGAAGCTCTTGGTAATTCAGTGCTGGAAAACGGGGATTTCATCTCTTGTGGCTCCTTTATTCTAGGAAGGATGCTGGTTATTTATTCAGCAGGATGCTGGTTCCTGCTGTCCACTCTCAGAGAGTGTGGGCCTTTCTGTTCTAGAGGGGGAGTGTTGGTCTTCAGCACAGGGGCTCCATGTCAGTCAATGACCATATGTTGGGGGAATGTTACTCAGCCCCTCTTTTTCCTACGTTCCTGTTTTTGTTCACCAATTGCCTTGCCTTCTCAGATTTTCTTTCTTCTCTCTATTGCTTCCTGGCTGCCCAGGCAACAGCTTAGTCTGGCTGTGAAACACTTAGAAGTTTTAAACTAAAATAATATAACAGAATGGTCTGTAACCTTTCTGGATTAAAATAATCCCATGGTGACATTGTCTCAAAGGACTTCGCTTGGAATTAGTCTACAGAGTTTGGATAGGGAGGTGAAAATGAAATACTTTGTATGATTGACTCAAATAATTCTTGTCTTCATGAATAAAATTGCATACTGGGTCTTTGTGCAACTTACACCTAATCTCTGAAGGATATTAAAGGGTTACCCCTTCCCACTATGTGTCACTGGGAGCCAAAAGAACACCAGTGGAGCTAAGCTCTAGTCTAGCCTAGGACAGATTTCTCGAGTTCTAGGAAACACTGTGTTCATTAACACTTGCCATTCCGTAAGCAGGTATGAAGCTGTTCACAGAGCCTCTTACTGTCTGAGAGGGGTCTCTCTGGATCCGCGTCCTCCTGAGACAATCTTTTCCCCTCTAGAGAGAGCTATCCAGTACGGTTCCTAAGAACAGCAAGCATTACAAGCAGAAGACTCACCTCGATATCTGAACACTCCAAACCAGCCTTCTCGCTGTATCTCAGGAAGTCCTAGCAAGTAGGGGAAGCAGGGAAGAATGTGGGAAGGGTTAAAATTAGTAAAATAGCTGGAAAAAAACTTATCATAAAAATACAATAACACCCTGGAGACTTTCCTTCCCAGTAGAGGTGGCAATGGTTTAGAGTAGCTGAGAAATGAAATTATGAGTCATGTAAGATGTAATAACATAGAGAGAACTCCCAGAATATTCAAACTTCCTTTTTTCTTTTTTTGAGACAGAGTCTCACTCTGTTGTCCAGGCTGGAGTGCAGTGGCACGATCTCGGTTCACTGTAACCTCCACCTCCCAGGTTCAAGTGATTCTCTTGCCTCAGCCTCCTGAGCAGCTAGGATTATAGGCAAGTGCCACCATGTCCAGCTAATTTTTGTATTTTTAGTAGAGACAGTGTTTCGCCATGTTGGCCAAGCTGGTCTCAAACTCCTGACCTCAGGTGATCCACCCACCTCAGTCTCCCAAAGTGCTGGGATTACAGGCATGAGCCACTGCACCCAGCCCCAAAATTTCAAAGCTATGGGAGAAGGAAGAGTGAGGGGGAGAGAGGATGAAAGGAAAGGGGGATTGTGACAAGAAAGACAGAAAGAAAAGTTAAGTCTTTCTTTTTTATTTAGCCTCCTAATGCCATGAGATGAATCAAGTTGAGCCATTGTTTAAAATATAATTAGGCTGGGCACAGTAGCTTATGCCTGTAATCTCAACACTTTGAAAGGCCAGGAGTTCGAGACCAGCCTGAGCCATATAGGGAGACCCTGTCTTGACCAAAAAACAAAAAATTAGCCAGGCAGTGTGTTATGCAATTGTAGTCCTAGGTACTCGGGAGGCTAAGAAGGGAGGACCACTTGAGCCCAGGCATTTGAGGCTGCAGTGAGCTATGATTATGCCACTATACTCCAGCCTGGGGGATGGAGTAAGACCCTGTCTTTTATATATATATATATATATATATATATATATATATATATATATATATATATATATATGACCCTGTCTCAAATATATGTATATAATTTTAGGTATTGCTTATCTAAGGTTTTTAAAGCCTTACCTTTCCCTTTCTCCCTGTATTTCACTCTGATTTTATATTATTATTATTTTTTAAAGGTATCAAGTCAACAATTGCGACAAAGTAAGAACGTGAATTGAGAAAAGAAAATCAAGTAACAACGCACCTAAAGGGAGAACAGCCATGCAGTTTATCTGGGGGCAAAGCTGACAAAGTAACCAGCAGATGGATGAAAGTTCCCATGTCCCCACTACCCGTCCCACCGTTCACAGTCCTTTGGGACAGTGTGGCGGAGGCAGAGCCCCTAGATCTACTGCTAACCTGTCCTGCGCTTGAGGGATCCTTCTTCAGCCCTGACCCAGGCTCCCAGCTTCTTACCTTGAGGAGCAACTGGTATTTTGTTATTCTCTGAATGGGCTTGATGAGGAAGTCACTCAGTGTCAGCCTCTGATTTATCTCCTGTTTTACCTCCTGAAACACAAGAAGCAATATTAGAAAAAAAAGGAACTGAAGAACTGGGGTACTCTGAATTAGGTTCAAAGGCACGGATGACAGGTCTGCATGTTTTCCAATGAAGCTGAAGAATCTTTAAGTAATGTGAGAGATAAAATTGCCTAGATGACAGTTCACCTGTTATGAACAACACATAATACACATCACCACTGGCTTCCTGCCTTCTTCCTGTGCTTTTACAGCAAGTACTTCCACACCTTGGTCTTTGCCCCAGTTCTGGGAGACAAGCTGGAAGAGCCTTATTCTCACCACTCCTTCAGGGCAAAGGCAGGGAAAAGGGGCTTCTCCTAGGACACACAAGCCTATGGAGCCTGGCCCTAAACTTAGATCCCCAAACACTCAGCTGAGCGCTCTTTCTAAGTGATGGTGCTGCCCTTCTCCCAGCAAAATAAATCCTTACAGGCTAGGCCAAGCAGAGACTAGGAAGGCTGCAAACCCCTAAACCAACAGAAGGTTCCTCAGTAAGTGGTCGCTGGGGGGACTGGTGGGCACAATCTGCTCTATGGTCTCTTAAGAAGAACTGGAGCTTCTCAAACCATCTCTGTGCTCAGGCTTATTCCGCAAATGGGGGACTTCTCAAATCAGAACTGGACGGGGCCACCCCAGCTCCTCTCAAGCAAAGGTGCTAATGAGAATTTAGCTATGAAGCTACTTCTCTGTTGAGGCAGCTGTGGATGGATGCTGTCTGATAGTTCTGAAAGTGGCTATCTTGGCCTCAGTTTTCCCCCCACCCCAATTCAGCAAAGCCTGCACAGCTTACCTCAAAGTAGCCGTCATACTCAGCAACGATGTACTCTGAGCGTGGCTTATTCTGACAATACCACACGTAGATGTGCAGCTTCCGCTCCTGAAAGAGCAGAGAGAGACATGTGGACAGTCAGGCATCTTGTGTCTTTTGTTTAGTCTCAGAGTGCCGTGCTGGCCTCCACGTGGACAAAGGACAAAGGCGCACCTGGGGACACAACAAGGCAGCTGAATATCAGGGATATAAGTGTGGTTGGCAAGAGCCACTTTCCAAATCACCAAGAAGGTTAAAAAAAAAAAAAACAAAAACCAAAAATACTCAGAGAGGGGTGAGGAGGAAGGTCAGTCAAGAACGGCAGAAGAGAAGAAATTGAAGAAATTTTATTTATTAATTTTCTGAGATGGGGTCTCACTCTGTCACCCAGGCTGGAGTGCAGGGTGGGGCCATCATGGCTCACTGCAGCCTCTACCTCCCAGGCTCAAGTGATCCTCCTGCCTCAGCCTCCCAAGTGGCTAGGACTACAGGCATGTGCCACCAGCCTGGTTAATTTTAAATTTTTTGTAGAGACAGGCATCTTGCTATATTGCCCAGGCTGGTCTCAATGCTTGGGTTCAAGCAATCCTCCCATCTTGGCCTCCCAAAGTGTTGGAATTACATGTGTGAGCCACTGTGCCTGGCCAGAATTTTAAAGTGAATGTCAATGAGTCTAGTGAAGGAGTTGGGGAGGAGGTGATGGGAGACACTCACATGCTTAATAAAGAGCTGTGCCAATCTGTCTTGCTCCTGGATACACTTTTCCAGTTCCGCCAGGAAAAAACTAAAAGGAGAAAGAGGGTAAGAGAAGGAAGCCACATTGTTCAGAACTGTGCTATTTCTCAATAATAAGATAAGTGACAGTAGGCTCTCCCCAAGCCCTACCCCTTGAGTCAGATGCAAGAAGAGGACTCGAGGCCTGGGTTCCCAGGACACTGGATCCTTGGGGCAGCATTAATACTTACTCCTTATGCCAGTCATAAATCTGATGAATATTTCCAAACACGATTTTGTCCTTTCCTCGCATATCCTCAGGGACACCCTTTTCTTCTATTCTCTTCATGAAGCCCTGCAGCAGCAAAGGCAATGGTTAGTAACATATTTTCACAGGAAAGCTTTCTGGGCCATGCCACACACCACAGCACCCCTGTGAGCCCACACTCTCTGCAGGAGTCTGAGGACAAATGCTTCTATCATTTCTCACTATTCAACCAGGTCTTTTACCCCCACCCCTCATGCAGAGCAATAGACAAAACTTTTACAAGTTTCTGGATCCCCTTCTTTGTCTCCAGTTCCCTTAAGAAAGCAGAGCACAAAGAAAACAACGTGTCCCTCTTCCTTCTCCTAATTCAAGTTAATCAGGACTGTAAAGGCTCAGAACTAGATATGTCTGGCCTAGAGATAATTCTTAATGGCTGGGGGTGGTGGCTCATGCCTATAATCCCAGCACTTTGGGAAGCCAAGCTGGGCAGATCACCTGAGGTCAGGAGTTCAAGACCAGCCTGACTAAACATGGTGAAACCCCACCTCTACTAAAAATACAAAAATTAGCTGGGCATAGTGGTGGGCACCTGTAATCCCAGCTACTTAAGAATCTCTTGAACTTGAGAGGTGGAGGTTGCAATGAGCTAAGATCATGCCATTGATCAACACTCCATCTCAAGAAAAAAAAAAAAAAGCCTTAATATATTAATACTTTAGACTCTATAAAATGTGATCATATAGAATTTCATTTCTGCTTTAAAATCAGGTTTTAAGGTTGCACAGGTAGCATTATCCCTATCTGACAGATGAGAAAACTCAGGCACCCAGTGTTAGATGATGACTTGTCTCATAGTTGCACCACTGATGTCTCACTTCCCTGCATTTCAGCCTCCCAGTCTCCAGATTCTTTTGTCTGCTACTCCTGGGCTGGACTGCATATGGAAACTGTTGTAACTCTTCCATCCCGCAGCCCCGCAGAAAGATGAGAATGACTTTCCATAAATTAGAATTCAGATCTTCTATATGCCTGGTTAATCTGTTTATCTAAGGTTCAGGATAAGCAAATACAAAACCCTGAGTCAGCAGATTTCATAGGATGGGGACTCAGGCCAAATGTAAGGAACCAGCAGGCAGTGTAGGCATTAGGCATAGAATTTTTAGACTCCATGTTCTTTCAGGATGATTAACAATAGGGCTCTAAGCTATCCATATTATCCATTTACTTTCTCAGGCCCTTGTTCATCCAAGTGTCTAAGTTCTTTTAAGTGAATCCCTACAGAACTAGAGCTATTTAATGTATTACCAAGTTGACTCCTAGCTGTGGATCTATCAACCTTGCTCATTGGTGAGTTTTTCTTTCAACTGTCTTCTTGCTAGCTATAACACTTATCCTTAAAATCTATGGAAAAGTATAAGCCCTAAGATTCCACTAAAATCGACCTGTTTGGCCAGGTGTGGTGGCATGTGCCTGTAGTCCCAGCTACTCAGGAGGCTGAGGCTGGAGGATCGCTTGAGTCCAGGAGTTCTGGGCTGTAGTGTGCTATACCAATTGGGTGTCCGTACTAAGTTTGGCATCAATACAGTGACCTCCCGGAAGCGGAGGACCACCAGGTTGCCTAAGGAGTGGTGAACTGGCCCAGGTTGGAAATGGAGCAGGTCAAAACTCCCATGCTGATCAGTAGTGGGAGTGCACCTGTGAATAGCCACTGCACTCCAGCCTGGGCAACATAGCAAGACCCTGCCTCTTAAAAAAAATAATAGAAAAAAAAAAAAAAGAATGACCTGTTTGGCCAGGTGCAGTGGCTCATGCCTATAATCCCAGCACTCTGGGGGGGGCCATTGCAGGCAGATCAAAGTCAGGAGATCGAGACCATCCTGCCTAGCATGGTGAAATTTTGTCTCTACTAAAAATACAAAAAATTAGCCAGGTGTGGTAGCATGTGCCTGTAGTCAGTCCCAGCTACTTGGGAGACCGAGGCAGGAGAATTGCTTGAACCTGGGAGACAGAGGTTGCAGTGAGTCAAGATCACACAACTCTAGCCTGGGCAACAGAGCAAGACTCCATTTAAAAAAAAAAAAAAAAAAAAAGAATGACCTGTTTTATGCCTACATGGCTCATAACTCTGAAGTCCACATAGTTAAATACCAAAGAAAAGCTCTTAAGACAATAGCTTGGTCCCCTAAAACAAAGTGGAATGAGTTCCATTTGAATCAAGAGGCTCCCCAAAATGCTGTAACATTTGGGCCCCTACTTCCCTTTAAATATCTTATTTCAAGGGGAAAAGAAAAACATTGCCTACATATTTTGCTTATTACCATTTTTAGTTTCATTTCTGCCACTGCGTACACAGAGTAAAGTACATGTAACCGTCAGATTAAAACACCTTGGCCTAGGTAGGGCCCAATGTGCTCCTGGTTGGATGACCACAAACCCACCCTAAACCCTCTACTTACCTCCACCACAATGCCCAGATCCTTGACATAGTCTTTCTCAGTCTGAAGCAGCTCATTCAGGACAAACCTGAGCAGGAGATTAAGAACAATGAGTGTTCCTCTTCATTGTCAAGCCAAAATCTTCACTTAAGTTCACAGAAAAGTTACTTCGACACCTTTACAAAAAGACCCCCTAAAACACCCACACTTATCTCCTGGGAAAGGTGCTTACAGATGCTCTCCCTACAGAAGGTCCTACTCAAGGGCTGAGGACACCAAGGCCAGAAAGGATTTCCCCAGGTGACATACAATAGTCAGATGAAAAATGACACTCAGCACCTAGCATTCTTCTTTCTATTCTTCCTCACTTACAACTGAACAATTGTACAGACAGAGGGCAGAAAGAATGACAACCATTTTGGCAAAATTGAGTTCCGAAAGCTTTGAGGCCAAGGGGTGCACATGAGACTTTTCTTTCTTCATTTCAGTTCCACTCTTCACTTAACAAGAGGAGAAAGACATTTGATTACCAACCTGTGAGCCTCCAAGGCACGAATGGATATCAAGTGAAGCTTTTAAGATATAGAAGCTGCCATTATTCAGATAGGTTTCCATAGTAACTGGCCCGGAAAATCCCCAGTCAAGGCCAGAAAAGACTGCAGACGTTCCAAAGTCACACCTTTAATGCAGCACTGCCGTCTCCAGGTTGCAGGGTTTAACAATTACAAGGACATTTGCTCTCTTGGTTTCTTTTTTGCTAATTCTTTCTACCATTTACTATGTGCCACTCCCTTCATCTGGGTTTTCTCATGCTTATAATAAGGTAGGTATTATAAAGCCTATTTTATATAAATGAAAATGCAGAGACAGAAAGATTAGGTAGCCTGACCATGATTACAAAGTGAGCAGCAGAGCTAGGATTTGAACCCAGTTGTGTAAGAGTCCAAAGACCATGCTCTTTCACAGCAGCCCCCTGCCTGGCAAACTACTCTGACTGGCTCTTGGGAGTCCACACAAACTCAAAACACAAACCCAGATACTCTTTTCTGTCTTCTGTCCAGACACTAAAGAGCTTTACATAAAATGTTAATGGTTGTGCACAGGGGCAGGGTGGTGCTGTGCAACCTACTGGGGTCAAATGCTTCCAATCTGATTTGAATGAGTTTTGCCTCGGACCACACAATTGCATTTTGGACCCAAGTAGCAGAAGGGATTAAATTCCGAGATGTCAAAATGGGACCCCAGCATAAGGGTTATAACCATTTTGAAACCAGGAAGCAATTGGTCTGAAATTCTTGCTCTGTATAGCCCCAGAAGCCACCACATTCCTGGGGTCTGGGGCCTCTGGGCAATGGGGAGGAAGGAAGCAGAGGAGCACACGCTTCTTTATCAGTGCACCCAGCACTTCCAGCAGCTCCCTCTCCAACACAGACAATCATGTGTTTTAGGCCACAGGAAGCAACTGGCAAGGCCAAATAAAAGCATTTAAAAATATCTTTACCATGGCCCAAGTTAATGCCTGGTAGAAAGTGGCAAAAGAAAACCCACAGGAAAGTTAGAGTGAGAATGTGGGGCTGGCATTGCCCTCTGGAGATGAAGTCTAGCTCTCTGTCTCCAGGAGATATTTTTATCCTAAGCTATTTGCTGACAGTTGAGGGTTATCTTTGGCTTCTCAGCCTCTAGAGAAGGGAACTGTATTAGGTGCTGCTAGTGGACCTAGCATCTCTTCCCTTGAAGGGTTAATGAAGTACCTGGGGAGATCATGACATATTAAAAGACATTCTGAAAAGTGACATGAAGAATTTAAATTGCACGCATCGCAAGGCAGGGCACAATTAATTGCCAAATGAATTGACAAGGCATTTTTTTTCATAAGTTCTTATTATAAGTTATTTACAAGCAAATGTTATTCTTTGGTCCAACTAAAATTATTTTAGCTACAGGTTAGAACCACTTCTAACCTCCTTTTACAGTGATGGGGAATGGCTGGCCTTCCACAGAAAATCCCTTAGATCCATTGCACTGGCTGTTCTCTCTCCTGAGAACACTTTTTCTCCATGGCTAATTCCTTACCTCCCTGGTCTCTGTGCAAATGCCAGGGCCATTTAAAGTTATAACACGGCCTCATTTATTCTCTGAATCTCCCTTACACTGCTCTATTTTTTTCTTTTTCTTGCTTCCAACAAACTACATAATTTGTTTATTATCTGATTTCTCCCACTAGAATTTAAACTTGTCATGAGAGCGAAGACTTTTGTTGTTATTATTTGTCTTATTTACTGATGTATCCCACTGACAGTACATAACTGGTGTTTGATCAGTATTTGTTGAATGAATGACTAAAACTTGAAGACAAGTAACTGCATTCTCAACTTCTTTCTTCTCCTGGACAAATGACTATTTGTGTCCATCTCTTCTCCACGGAGTTCTCATTTAACCCTTTGATGTCCTACTGCCATCTTCTGGATTGAGTCTTGGTTCGCTACACCCCTCAGCCTCTGGCCTCACATATGGTTTATAGTGAAACACCCACCCTTTCGTCATGGCCATAAAGTACAGCAGGATAGAATAAGGATGAGACATAGTAAGAGGAATGAGACACTCTAACAGCTGCATTTGCAAGACAGCTCAGGATGTGAAGAGGTGTGGATTTTGGCAAGAATGAGAAGAGGGAGAAGAGCTCAGTAAAGTGGGCAAAAGAGAAAGTAAACTTTTGTGGTCTATTGTATCTGGGCAATGGCTTAAATGACTGCTCAAAGGCCATTCAAGCTATATGCTAAGAGTAGTGACTGGCTTTGCCCAAGGTCACCTGTGACCTCAGAGGTCCCCTTTCTGACTTAAGCTTTGCTTTGGCTTGACAAAAGACATCAGCTGCAACTCTGCCTCATCAGTAACAACAACCTGAGAAGCTAAGGAGACTCAGCTTTGTACAAGTCCTAGGAAATTTCTCTTTAGGAATGGCATTTCTCAACCTCTATTCTATTCACCAACTTCTTAGGGCTTCCCCTGAGTACTCACAAAGTTGAGGGGGCAAATATGGAATTACAGGATTTACATGCTACTTGTTCATCTCCACTATGAAGTGATAGCCCTGCTTTCACGCAAGGCCTTCACTATGATGTTCTCACTTTTGTTTCCTAGGAAACAAAAAGTCATAAATAGTCATAAATAGACACTTTGTACATTTCCACGTAGCAGAAGGACCTAGCCTCACTTATTTTTGCTAGTTTTTATGTCTGTGGCCAGGCTAAAGGAGTGATGAATTTGAGAGAGAAGGGCAGGCTAATTAACAACAGGGAGGGACCCTTCACACCTACCTTCCCAATTCTCACAACTGCTTATAATCTCTCACATGCTGAGCTATGTCTAAGGCTTATTACTAGCTCTGATTGCAACAGAAGCAGACTCTAGGATTTTAGAGTCAAACCCTAAACAAGAAAACAAAAGTTGGCTGGGTGCGGTGGATCCTGCCTTTAATCCCAGCACTCTGGGAGGCTAAGGCAGGAGGATTACTTGAGGCTAGGAGTTCCAGACCAGCCAAGGCAACAAAGTGAGACTCCATCTCTACAAAAAATAAAATAATTAGTCAGGCATGGTGACGCACACCTGTAGTCCCAGCTACTTTGGAGGCTGAGGTGGGAGGATCCCTTGAGCCCAGGAGGTCAAGGCTGCAGTAAGCTATGATCAGGCCACTGCGCTTTAGTCTGGGTGACCAAGCAAGACCCTGTCTCAAAGAAAAAAACAAAAAAACAAAAAAATAAAAGTTTTGGAGGAGTTCTGCTTTTGTACTAGCGGTATCTGGTATATTCTTGATCAGCTCAAATAATAGATAGATTTCATGTCACATAGATAACTCTTGCATAACATGGATTTTTTTGCATTATGAATTATATTTTACCACTAACTATTCAAAGTGGAGAAGAAGTTCTCTTGGAACTAATCCCAGAAACAGATGCAAAATTAAAACCTTTGGAGAAGGAGTAGAGACAGGACCTGCTTGGTGGTACAACAGCTCCTTTCTCTATATATAACTTCTACATTTGGGGAAATTATTTCTTAGGTGACCTCTGTCAGACTTTCTGCCATGGCTAGAGATTCTCTGATTCTATAGGCCCTCAGTAATATAGTCTCATGGTTTCCTCAACTTTGCCATTTTCCTTTTATCACCACATTTTAAATTTCTAACAGACCTATAACCACACTTTGTCAGTAATAGCTACTATCTCAGAATATACTTTAGCCTAAACTTCATTCAAGTCAGTGTCAAAGTGGCTCAATGTTTATCAGTACTATGCTGTACAGATCTGGGTCTCCTTTACATTGAATGAACGATGTCAGTAGAAACAGCATGGGGAATCCCTCTCAAATTCTCCCCAAACTTTGCCCCCGTCCACCGCACTCACATGTGCACCAGGGAGGAATATGGGGAAGCCACTTACATCCTGCCTCTCAGGGCCTTGGCTTTCTGTTCTTCTTCCAGGTTTCTAGGAGGAGTGGGTTGGGCCATCCCCTCATTCAGGCAGCCTGCAGGGTCTTTCAAGCTTCCCCGGTATGACCCTCCTTCTAGACTCTGAAAAGAGAGAATAAACAGCCTTAGAAAAGTGTACTTTGAAAAGTCATTTGGAATCCCTGTGTCCTTCAAGCCTAGCCAGAGACAACATAGAAAATCAGTAGCCAAGGCTATTCTCACCAAACCACAGTGAAGCACTAGCAGACCAGTGACTTTATCCTCCTGCAGCAGGGAGCCCAGAGCTGCCACCTTCTCAGGCAACCGGGATGTACTTGGCACCTATGTGCTGCCAGTTTCCCAGACATAATGAAATTGTTGAAGTGACTATCTCTAGGTAAGAGCTCCAGAGGTAATGCTAATTATTACAATTCTACATCAAATACGCAGTTAGAAATGAAAACACGTTTTGAAAAGGGTGAATATGGTACTCTATTGGGAACTAAGAGTAAAAAAAAAAACCCTAAATTTGAATCCCAGATCTGCTAGTCACTGAATGATTTATCTGAAATAGCTAAAATTGTTCCATGCTTCAATTTTTCTCAGTTTTCAAATGAGAACTTCCCTCTCTACAGATTTCTAAGGAAAAGGCAGAGATAATAGCTATACAACCCCTTTGAAAAGTTAAAAACGTCCTATGATGATGAGATTGGTTTTTCCCTGGCCCCATGGATGGAACTGCCAACAATAAAAATACTCAAAATAGAGTCAATCTTAACCCTTTTACAAGTGTCTTGGAAGAAGGATTATTCAGTGACATTTAGCATTTCATTATGCAAACTGGCAGAAGCAATGTGGATACACAGAAAGGCTGGAGAGTAAGGTCAAGTTGAGCAACTGTAAAACAAATAATGAGAGACAAATCTAAGGCTATATTCTTCTTTATTATTATTACTTTACTTTAGAGACAGGGTCTCACTTTGTTGCCTAGGCTCGTCTCGAACTCCTGGGCTCAAGTGATCCTCCCGCTTCAGTCTCCTAAAGTGTTGAGATTACAGGCATGAGCCAATGCATCCAGCCAGAATATGTATGTATGCATGCATGTATGTATGTACATATGCATGTATGCATGCATGTATCTGTCTGTCTGTTTATCTAACTATCTATCTATCTATTTATTTATTTGGAGAGAGGGTCTAACTCTATTGCCCAGGCTGGAGTGCAGTGGTGCAATCATGGCTCACTGTAGCCTTAATCTCCCAGGCTCATGGCTCACTGCAGCCTTGACCTCCTAGTCTCAACCAATCTCACCTCAGCCTCCTGAGTAGCTGTGACAGACATGCACCACCATATCCAGCTAATCAGGTTTTTTTTTTTTTTTTTTTTTTTTTGGTAAAGACAGGGTCTCATTACATTGCCCACGCTGGTCTTGAACTCTTAGGCTCAAGTGATCCTTGCACTTCAGCCTCTCAAAGTGCTGGGATAACAGGTGTAAGACACCGTGCCTGGCCCTAAACTGCTGTTACAAGATGCCTGTCTAAATAAGCCACTGCTGCTGACAGAAACAGTTTCATTTAGTAGTTTTTGAAAACATTAGCCCTAAGGTTAAAGTCACAAAGATTTTAAAAAGAGCAGCCCAAAAAGGTAGTAGGAAGTAAAAGCTTCAGCCTAGCCTCAGTGAGCTGCACTAGGAGTATTTGCCACAATGCTCTTAGTTGCTCTATTTTAACATAGGCTAAACAGAGGTAGAAAAGAAAGGTCCAGAGAAATAAAAAGTGAAATGAGGTTCCTGATGGGCCACTGTATAAGAAAAGATGGAGAATATAAAGACTTGAATCTGAAAAACATAACACTAAGTAGAGATATTAAACTTCTTCCACCCCCCCACCCCCAAACTGACAAAATGCGCCCAGGGCTACATATGAATTTGTTACCAACACTAGAAACTGGAACTAAGAGGACAGGGTCTTCAAACTCGAGACAGATAATTTCTTTTAACTTCAGATAAAGGTATTCACAGAACAAGTAATCAGTCATGGACATTGTTATATCCAGAGCAGCAGCATAGGCTAAAAATATGGAAAGGTCAAGAAGGGTTTAGTGAAATTTATAGATACAGGATCTGTAACCTGCTATTAAGGAAATGAGAGTGTCTGGTGCTGAGGCTTGACAACCAAGCACACAGGCAGGCTTTCCAATGATATGTCTCCTGGTGCCATCACCAGAGACGGACTTCCGGGCAGATGAGCCCAGCTGGTGATTGATCTGATTACATGCCTTTTACTTCCCCTTCTTTCTCCCCATTGTCCTGTTTCAGCCTTTGTTCTGCAGCCTGTTGAGTGTAGCATGGTGACTGCAATGCCTGGGAAACAAGTCTTGGTTTATAGACTTGCTTGACCATTAGATGTTACTGAAATCCATTCACAGTTCCATCTCTTTGCCCTTAAAAGAAATGAGTGCTTTCCTCTAGTGGATTGCTGCTCAGTGTTCTCCTCTGTGCTCCTGCCCCTTCCCAGGGTGACATCTCTGCCCATAGGCACTCCCATGGAGCATCCAGCTTTGTGTGGTCCACTTTCAACCTTTCTATAGAACAATGAACATCTGAGAAGTCCATTATGTCAAATGGGGAAATACTTTCATCTCCTCCTACCTGACCTGTTCTATGAGCAAAGCAGCCCAAGCTGTCTCCAGGGGAGGACTCTCTGGGATGGCAACAGTGAGAGAAGGATGAGAGAAAGAAAGAATTTGGCTTAAGCTACATGCTAGGCAGTCTGCCTAAAACAGCGGGTTTGACTTTAGTGCTTGTAGTAAAATTCAAGAGTGACTGCCCCTGAAGACCTAGCTACCTAAGCTAGAGTTGGGATACTGAGCTCCAGCTAAGGGCAACTAGGGTTGACCTAAAATTGTCTGTACTGTTCCTGAAAGAAAACAGGCAGTGGTGGCCAGGCTTCTGCCATAGTGAGGACTTCTGCCCCAACTGGAGTTCAGGGACCAAACAGTCTCAGAGGACAAAGGAAAAGGCATATGGGGATGGAGCAACAAATGTTCCCATAGTCGGTCCAAGGTTGGGGAATAGAAATGCAAATAGATTCAAATATGTGATGAAGAATGGAGGAAGGTCATCCCCATATTTAAAATGAGCATATTTCCTGGGCATTGGCTCTGGGATCATATACTCATAACCTGCCCCTCCTCTGGGCACCTATAAACACTCTTTACATACTCCCTGCACAGCGTTCATCACATAGTATTGTAATCACTGATTTGAATTCAGGCAAATATTTATTGAACATCTACTACATGCTAAATATTTGCAAAGTGCTGGAGAAATGAGGATGAATAAGGCAAAGCTCCCTACCCTCCATAAGCTAAGACAAAATGGGCATTGTTTTAGAGAAACAGGGTACAATGGAGGAAGAACAAAAGGAGCAGGTGGCTCTGTGGTGGGGTGGAGAAGGAAAGAAGACTTAACGGAAGAGGGAATGTTTGAACTGAGTAAGGATAAATGAAGAGTTTCACTGGATGTGCCAATGGGAGGACATTCCAGACAGGATCAGCACTGTGAGTATAGGGTGAAGGAGCAAGTGACATGGGGCAGCCTGGGAAGGTGAAAGTAGCCTGGTGTGGGCAGAGTACAGTGTGAGGGAAGGGGGTTGGCAAGGAACTGTGTGTTCTGTGAGTCTGCATGAGCAGGTGTTAAAGGAGAAGGTGAGGAGTGAAAAGAGAATTCTAGAGAAGTCTGTAGGGATCAGATCATAATGAACCTTGTCTGCATGGCATTAAGAAGTAGAGACTTGGCCAGGAATGGTGGCTTACCCCTCTAATGCCAGCACTTTGGGAGGCTGAGATGGGAGGATTGTTTGAGCTCAGGAGTTTGAAACTAGCCTGGGGAACACAGCGAGACACCATCTCCATTAAATAAAAAATTAAAATTAAAATAAAGAAGTAGAAACTTTACTTTCTCAGACTAATGATGGGACAGTTGTAAACAGGAAAAGACATGTTTTGATTTAAGTCTTAGAAATGTCATTCTTAATGTTCCAAAGAAACTTTCATAATTTGGGACAATGTCTCTGATTTGACAGTAAAGAGAAATAGAACTTAAACTAGTATTCTATGATTAACTATACTATTTTTAAAAGGGTCTAGGAGAAAATATACCAAAATTTCAACATTGAGTATGTCTAGATGATGATTTATGTTTATACTCTTGTCATTTTTCCAAATTTTTTTTTAATAAGCATGTTTCTTTTATTAGTCAGAAAAAGAACTATTAATTAAAAAAAAAGAAAAAGGAAAAGAATACAGGCGCAGCAGCTCACGTCTGTAATCCCAACACTTTGGGAGGCCGAGGTGGGTGGATTACCTGAGGTCAGGAGTTAGAGACCAGCCTGGCCAACAGCACGAAACCCTGTCTCTACTAAAAATACAAAAATTAGCTGAATGTGGTGACACATGCCTGTAGTCCCAGCTACTTGGGCGGCTGAGGCAAGAAAATCACTTGAACCTGGGAGGTGGAGGTTGCAGTGGGGCGAGATCATACCAGTGCACTCCAGACTGGGTGACACAGCAAGTTTGTCTCCAAAAAACAAAAACAAAAACAAAAATATTATTAAGTAGAAAAAAAAAAAAAAAAAAGAAAAGAAAAGAAAGATCCCTCCAGAAGTCACACAGAGAGATGTCAGACGAAAATCTGAGAGAAAATGATTGCCAACAGTCCAGGGAGGAGAGGATTTTGAGCATTAGCCCTAGACACTGCAAGCTCCATATAAGGAAAACTGTGTTTGATCTCAAAGCCTGGTGCACAGGAGGACTCCAAGAATTTATTAAATATGCTATGTAACTCTTGGGAAGAGATCAAAGCTCATGTGATGAGACAATGGGTAAGCCGGCTGGTCCAATACCACCTACCACACCAACCAATCACCCCTTAGTTGCTCCTCTTTAATAAAAAATTTGCACATCACAACTGTTAGGATGGCTACCATAAAAAAAATAAGAGATTGGGGTTTGATTCCCTGACGGGGAGGCAGCAAAAAATAAAAATCAAAAGTAAGAGATAACAAATGTTGGCAAGGGTGTGAGAAAAGTGAACCCTAGTACACATTGGTGGGAATGTAGAT